ACATCACATTTTTATTAATATTATTTTATTATTAATATTAAAGCATCAGCAGCAGGTTGAAGCAGTTTAAACTACTTTACATCCAGTTTTATAGAAGATCAATCTGAGGCTCCAAACAAAAAAACTAAATCCTGAGACGCAAATCTGTTCTCAGTTTTTCTCTGTTTGATTTTTATGATTTTAATGTTAGATTTTCCTTCATTTAAACATTTATTGAAACTAATGAGACATTTAGAGAGAAATCACTATTTGACGTCTGAAATCTGAATCTGACTATAAAAAAAAAAAGCTGAAAAAGCCGCAGATTTAATCTCTAATGATGTTTTGCATTTCAAAAACTTGTTCTATTATCGATTGTGTCAAATGTGCTGCTGAAAACACCGCTGTCAGATAAATGCGGTGGAGCAGAAAGTAGAATATCTGCCTCGGCTTGTGGTGCAGAGGACGGAGGACAGAGACGTATTCAAGATTCAAGCGTTTAAAAATTAAATGCAAACTGGCTGCGGAAGAACAACAAGACATTATAAACATATAATGTTCTTTAGAAACAGTTGAAAAATCTAAACAACGATGCAGATGTGTTCATGCTGAAGTCAAATACGTCAACCACAGTTTCCATCACGTCTGAAATCCAGCAGTGAGGAGTTTGTTTTCTGTTGTGTTTCATGATGAAGCTGCAGCAGATGGAGGAGAATCTGTGCAACATCGATGCTTCTGTTCATGACAGAATCCGTGCAGCTCCATCAATGTGTGCAGCATGGTTGTCTGAATAACTAGAGTTTGAATATTTCGGTTTATTTTTGCATCGCAGTCTTTAAATGTCTGCACAAACTTCTGCTGCTGTGACGCTGCAAACGTCCCCGATGTGGGATGAGTGAAGGATCGTCTGGTCTTGCTACATATAAATAAGCACATGAGAAATGTGTCGTCTTGACCTCGCAGCGTTTTTATCTTCTCCCAAAAATCTGCGTCTTTTTTTCTTTTTAATCCCAGAAAACAGGTGCTGAGCTACTTTTAAGTTTTCAGATGTTTCTTCCTTGATGCAGTGAAGAGTTTCTATGTGTTCGGTTCTTATGAACCCACGGTCCGTCAGAATGGATCGGTTCTGTCCCTCCAACACTCTCCAACTCTTTTCACACACTTCATCTCCATGTCAAGTTTTAGGCGTCCTTTTGCAGACGTCTTCTCTCAAGAGGACATCTGGTCGTTTTGAATTCGTAGCATTTGTTTCTCTTTTTCTTTCATCCACTCATATATTCATACACATACATATAAATAAATATAGAAGTAGTTTGCTAAAGTCCTCTAAACTCTGCCTGTGTCTGTACGTCCTCTCCAGGTGACCTACCGGGTGGTCCAGGTGACGGACGACCAGCTGGAAGCGGCGGCTGACGGAACCGGCGCCGTCAGCGTCGTCTCCACCGCTGCCTTCGCCGGAGCTCCTCAGGCCGTCGCTCAGGTGAGTTCCACGGCTCAGGTGTGTCCACGTGCTCGGACAGGAAGTAACGGAAATAACTCCAGATGAATAAAATGAGTAATTAAAGGCTAAATATGTGGCTCACTGTCGCCCAAATATTCTATTTATTACAGCAACATAAATGCAAAAATGAGAGAAAATAAATTGTTCAACATTTTTTAAAAGACACCAGAACCTAAAACTGATCTGAAAACGAGGACGATGAAGTTCATCCTGCTGCAGGCTGACGAGCATCGTCTTTAACACATGATTCCTTCTGTTGCAAACTCATTTTCTAGTCCAGGCATTCTAACGTTGTCAGTACGCACACATCTCTGTTGTTTTATTCCTTATTTTCTGACGTTTCCTTCTGGTTTGGACTCTGCAGGCCGTCATCCAGAACCCCTTCAGTAACGGAGGGAGTCCCGGCGGGGAGACGGTTGGAGGAGAAACCCGATTCGCTTACTTTCCCGCCGCCACCGTCAGCGATGGAACGGCAACGGCGGTGTCGGTTCAGGCGACGGCCGACCCGACAATCACGCAGGCAGGAGGTGAGGAAGCTCCACAGTCGTGTTCCTGAACTCTGCAATAAGATCATCACCTGACGGAGTTTTATCTTAATGTGCTGAAACGAGTTAATCAAAGTTTAATACCGTCAAGAAGGTTCTAAAATCAGTGACAATTACCAGAAATAAAAGTTCTGGTTCTGTTTGTTATACCAGACTTTTTGTATAATTACTGAGGTTTTCACAACAAAATATGTTGAATTAATGTGTTTAATTTAGTGCAATGTAAAAACAAAAAATTGGCCAAAAATATGAGCAAACTAATATAAAATGACCCATTAATAAAAAAACATAGTATTCCGTAATTAAAACATATTTTCTATCTTAATCTTATTTTTTTTTTAAATTGTTACTTTTACATTATAATTTATTTTAATGTAAATTGTAATTTATTTATTACAGATTTTTTAAACAAATTTAAAAAAAACTTTTGCATTGCATTTTCTATTACATTTTTGCAGAATGTATTTTTTTATACTCTGTTTTTATTACATATTTGACATTTCTGCACATTGTATATTTTTACCTTACTTATTTTATTTATTTCTCATGTTTTTCCTCAATGTATATTTTTTGCATTGCCTTTTTTTTTTGCACGCCATATTTTTTTTTTACATTTAAAATTTTTACTTTTTTTGTTTTTTACATTCTTGCACACTTTACATTTATGATGTTAATTTTTACATATTATTTCTTTTTTTTTTTTTTCAAAACCTTATAGTTTTTACACTGTACATATTTTACATTTTTTCTTCCCTCCTTGTTGTCTTTGGTTCATTTTATGGCTTCTGTTGAAGGTTTGTGTGTCTGACTGTCGGATGTCTGGTGTTAAATGTGGCTTCTTGGCTGCTGCGAAGGATCGATAAACTATCTGCTGATCAATCTGTGGATCTACTTCCAGGTCAGTTCTACGTGATGATGAGCCCCCCCGAGGTGCTGCAGACCACCACCCCTCGGACCATCGCCCCACGAACACACACCTACACCGCGTAAGTACAGCATCACACCTCCTCCCGTTTCCTCCCTGAAGACACCAAATCACCACAACTTCTCCTTCGACCGACGCCTCACCTCCACATCACTTCTCCTCCTCCTCCTCCTCCTCCTCCTCCTCCTGCTGCCCTTCTTTGGTTGACTGTCTTTGTGTACAAAAAAAAAAACAACAAAAAAACATCAATATCCGTCATTCAAAACCGCCGACGTCTGAACTCCGCACTCTGTCCCACTTACCTGCCGTCCCCAGAGACCTCGGTGAAAGCGAGATGTTGCAGCAGGGCAGCTCCAACTGGTGAGAAGATCTTTCACATACGAAACCCCCCCACACCACCACCCCACCCCATCCCATCATAGAGTCCCAGTACAGTCCCAGTCTGGTCATTTACTAAACCAGCAGCTGCATTTTAGTCACATGAAAGAACCTGGAGGACGCTTTTCCTGCTCAGTTCAGGTTAAAGTCTGCGAGTTTAGTTCACATGCAGCGTTGTTTACAGCCTTTAAAGGAGAATTCTGCTTCGTTTCAACCTGCTGAGCTCTCCTTATTATTACATTTTAAGTTGTTTATGTTACATACATGCAGCCTGTAACACTCTCAGGGGATTACTTTGCACTTTCTATTACTTTATATATATATTATAATCCCTTAATTGCTGTTGATTTCTATTGGTCACTTATTTTTAGTCTTAGTGTTATGCACTAAAAGTCAAATTATGTTAAAAAAAAAAAAAACTACTTCTTTAATAAACAGTTTGATTTTTAAAGTGTGATTTTAGACGCTTGTTTTGCAGAAAGTAAATGCAGAATTTAGCCGCCTTGAACAGACTGAAGCAAACTTTATTAGCTTTGAAAAGCTGAGAGTTCGGTTCAGTCGCTCTTTGTCCTTTTCTTTTTGGATCTCCAGGATGTTTATCACAGTTGGGATTCCTCTCAGTCAAGTCTGCAGCAGGATCATTCCACATAAAATCAACCAAATCTGTAACATAAAGTCCAACTTAACCTCCTCAGAATCAGCTGATTCTTCATCTACAGCAACTTCATTTAATAAAGCAGAGTTCTACCTTCATGCTGTGAATGTTTCCAGAGCTCCAGGCCCTTGAAGGTCCAGATTTCACACTTTTTATTGGACTTTTTTCCATCATTTCTGAGCCTCAGAACTTCATCAGTGCAGCAGACAGACACTGGAACTCTGGAAATATTCACAGTATGAAGGTAAAAGACTTCATTAAATTGAATAAAGTTACTGTAGATAAAGAAGATAGTGAAAGAGGCTCTGGTTGATCTGGTCTGTGGAAGGTATCCATGAATGGAGATCTGTAGTACAATTAGAAAAACGTTCCAGGCAGATAGTTTAGGCATGCTTCATTATTGACTCAGTTTCGCTGAATCTCTGCAGCAGAATCAGAAAGTGCAAAGTTAGTGAGACACTTAGAGCCACGTTAACGGGAAACGCAGCAGCAGGCTGAAACATATCGACCTTTAGAGGACGAAGCTCACTCACAAAGTAGAAAAGGTCCTGCAGCCGTAGCAGCGTTCTAGGCTCCCTGTCAGCTTGTAGAAGTAAAAAATATAAAGATTCCAACTTAAAGCGGAAGGCTCTTTGTTCAGATGCCTTCAGCAGCGTTTTCTGTTCAGTGACTCGTAGTTTAGGCTTAGTGGTTAATAATCACTGTGGTTTTTATTTTTTTTGGCCTTAACTTCAGTGTGAAACGGTCGTTTTTCTTTGTGTCTTTGCAGGAAGGTGGAGGGTCCACGAGCGCCTCGAGACGAGAGGCGGCGAGCGCAACACAACGAAGGTGAGCGTACATCTGTCATTTAGCAGAGATGTTTGAGTCCTCACTGGTAAAGAAATCTGATGTGTTCATAGCCTCCCATTAAACAAGGAAAAAACATCTGTCACTGAAAGAAGATGGAACTGACAAAGTAATAATAAATAAACATTTAATGAACATCATGCCGCGGTTCAACAGAAATATTAACAAAAAGAACAAGAAAACAACAAACAAACCAGCATGATGGAGCTGGAGTCTATCCCAGCTGACTCAGGGTGAAGGCAGGTTCACCTGGACAGGTAACCAGTCTATCACAGGGCTACACTTAGAGACAGACAACCAAGC